ATATATATTTGACGATATATATATGAGTCGGTGAAACTCCGACGAAACAGTTTGTCACAGCCCCTCGTTTGTTGTCCTCTTCTCTCTCTCTGCCTACGGTTTACCGGGCATTTCTGTTTGTGACGATATATATCTATATCTATATCTATATCTATCTATCTATCTATCTATCTATCTATCTATCTATATATATACCGGGCAGTTCTATTTGACGATATTTGACGATGTATATATATATTTTTTTTGAAACGTAAACGGAAAGGGAATGGTATGCTCCCAACAACAAGGGAGTGGTCCCACTCACAGACGCTTTGTAAAACAAGAGTCAGAAATAATTTTCAAATAAAGAAACCTTTGTTTTTTTTTTTTTTTGTTGTTGTTGTTGTTGTCTTCCCTAACTAATGGGCCCAGTGCCCAAGGCGCAGATTATGAAAATGCTGGTACAACAAGTGGGAGCTCTCCTCATGCCGTACAGCAATAAGTTGGCGGTGAAGGGGGAAAAAGTGTGCACGTAGAAGGAAAAAAAAATGCACATGGTTTAAACCACCAGTACGTTCCCCGCTACGCCGTCCTCAGGCATTTGGGCAACAAAGAAACAAAAGGTGCGCACAGAGCTTTTCCAGGCTCAGCAGGGGAAGGGTCGAAAGTAAGTAGTAGTGGTTGAAACTGCCACACCTCTGGGACGTGGTAGTGGTGGTTTAAGAGGAAAGCAGAGATTGAGATGGCCACACTGATGTGGGATAATGCCTTTTTTTTTGTTTTTTTCCAATCTATTCGTGGGGAGAAGCACGTGCTGGGAACCGGGCCCAGCGTCCCATATGCAAATTTACATAGAATTTTGATCTTTTTTTTTTTTTTTTTTTTTTTTTTTTTTTTTTCCCCCAGAGGGGGAGGGGAAGGGTCTTTTATGAAGGAAGGTTGAGCAAGCTCAAGGCCGAGTTATTACTCTAAAGGAACCCTTTCTCTTCCGGAATTTTGAAAGTTTGAGATACCGGGGCCATTACCCGGCTTTGGCTAATAAAATTTTGAGCGACTTAGAAAATTACTGCGACGAACTTCAGAAAAAAGGGTCTGGCCACAACAAAACACGCCACCACGGAGGTCCTACAAATGGTCAAAACCCTGTGGATCCCTAGCAACCCTTCTAAAGCTCTCCAGCACTGACTTACTCCCTGCCAAGCTCTTCCAGGCCTCACACCCCCACCCTGCTGCGTCACAGAGCAACAGGACTTGCCCCAGCTCCGACCAGCGTCGTCCCAGTAGCAACCCTTGGTTGTCCCTTGGAATGCCCACCCCAAAGCATCCCAAGATCTCTCTACCAGGCCTCACACTCCGGCATCAGCAGGTTACAGGCAACACCCCAGCACAGGCCAGCGTCGTTCTGGCATCGAACAGCCGCAGATCACTGAGTCTATCAGCAATGGAGCCGTCTAAGATAGGTTGCTAGGAGGCCCCAGAATCCTAAATCATTCTTAAACAACCAGTACACGGCCTCAGCCTTGCAGCGAAGTAACTTGTCGCCACAAGAAGTAAAAGGCGGGCGCGGGGCAGGGTCGGAGCATCATAAGGTTTTCAAAATTTTGGGCCTATGTCAAATCCATACGTCCCAAAAAACAAAACAAGCACTGGCCATGATTGCCGTTGGATACACTTTTTGGAGTACTGCCCTCAGCGAGGGCACTTTGGCAGAACGAGGAACACGAGGGAAGTTGGGTCTGGAGGGAGTGCCACGGCTAGTGCGGAATCTGGGAGTTCCACTACCCCGAGCTAGGGGCAAAGTCTAGGCTCGTCGCTGGACTAATAGTTGAGTGTTTATCAGAGGAATGTTCCTCTGGCGGGCTTCCCCCGTAAGCGAAACTGGGTAATGCTCCCAGAAGTTCCGGTTCCCCGGGTAGACTGTGACGACCCCGGCGCCTCATTTGTTCATTCTGAAATTGAAAGGCAAAGTTCCCACGAAAAAAGACCCTTGGCAACCGCCTGCCTGGAGGCACGAAGTGTTGATTAGATCCCACGCGAAACGCTTGAGCTTCCAGTCGCCTGGAAGTTCAGACTGTATCATCATCCCATCTTATATATATGGGATGTCTGGCGTGCAGTCGTTGAGGCTTTACGGTCTTAGACTTCCTTCCCTGCTGATTGTCCGCACCGATGCATTCATTATTGGATACTCGGCGGAGGTTTCAGCATATAGCCACGAAAAAAGACCCTTGGCAACCATGAAGAACCAACCAAACCTTGGGTCTTTTGTTTTATTTTTATGAAACTGCAATCAGACTCGTTTTCAAACACACTTTTCATGCATGTAAACAGCAACGCAGCATACTGGCGACATGCGCCCACTCAAAACTCAGATATATGGCTTTCAGATACGAGTTCACTCTCAATTAGCTATGGCGACTTCAGCGCCCAAACATCTCACTGTTCACATACACTGGATCACCCTGGATATCCCACA